CTTCCAATCCACGGTGTCAATAGATGTGCGGTGCTAAAGATCGCAATATCAAAGATTTAAAGTACGTGCTTCAAGCTCCCGCTGGAGATCCAGGACAAGAAAGAAATCCCCCCCTATACGTAGACAGATTGAATATCCTAATATGGCCCGGAATAAACAGCATACCCGTTCTACCCCAAAACGCAATATTACATATGCAGAGAACTAAATAGTGGAGAATGACGGTATTTCAACAAACGATTGAAGAAAATATCGTAAAGCAGTACAGTGCTTTACAAGTAGGCTGGCCCGCGGTTCCGGTGACGGCACCATAAATCTTCCTATGGAGGTCTTTCGAACCCTTGGGTCCAGGAACAAAAAATATCATAACATTATCATAGTAACATTCACAGCGCCATCAGAACTACCCTATCTCCGTGCCCGGAGCTCAGGGATTCCCGGAAGGAGGCCCAATACCCTCGGGTGGGCGGGGAGCATCTTGGCGGGTGTTTGGCAACACGGCGTTTGAGTGGTGTGCGTTGCCAGACACCTAAGGTGATGGATATGTAATCCCAGTAGGTATGTTATGGGGGTTTACCCTGATGTGTGGGAGTTTTCCCTTCCTGTATTTAAGCAGGAGCAAATCGGTCATGGACCACTAAGTCGAACACATTCCCTCTTGCCTCCACAGAAGTGTCTTCCTCCACACAACACAACGATCCGCTGCGTACGTTCGCTATCATAAGGCAGATTGCGGAAGTTGGGGTCCGGGAAGGAGAAAGTTAGTAACCAAGAAGAGAGGATAAATTCCGATTAAGAAACATTAATTGAATATGACATGATATTATAAAGCTGGTGTTAAAGTAGTGTTTATGGGCCGAATATTACCCCACAAAGAGGTCGTACGAATTGCAGCTTCAAAACTGTATCATAGAAACCACTATTTGGAAACAGCAGGCAGCCAAACACGTCAACCTCCTAAAACTGTGGTTTGAGTGGGTTTAGCGCTCAACAGTTGTGCTGCCAAACACCTCCTTAGTGTCTTTTTTTGCGAGAGGCAGTAGCCATGGAAGAACAGGGTGTTCGAAGATTGGGGACTGGAAAAAAATGAATTCATAACGCTCCACGAACAAAATCAACAATAAGGGAGCCTCACCAGGCTGGTTCAGATCTGGGATGTGTTATGTACAGTACATAGTTTGGTTGCCAGTCGGAGTTTCAAAGCGAGGGGTGCTGTCAATTTAAAATTTTTCAAAGCTGGAGACCGCACCTTTCCCGTTCTATCGAGCTTGACGCAAACTTACCAGCTGCCTCTGAACCACCAAACCATCATGCAAACCACTTCTAGAGCCAGCGCTTGTACTGGTACTGTAAATGCCGCAGTTCATCTTTCCAGTTCGCAGTTCGTGAACTACGGATCGCCTATTTGAACCGCCCTGAACCGGAATGGTGAGATTCCCTATGGTAAAAGCTGCCCCAAATTGTTCAAGTAGATTGTGACCCCTCGCCTCCTGTTTGTACTTTCTCTTCAAAGGAGATTCTAGTGTTGAACAGGGAGCCACTGAGAGTGGGTAAATAGTGAGGGGCTATTTTGGGTCGAAGCGATACACTGCCACTATCCAAGCACCGCGGAAAATGGCCAACACTTGTGATATCGAACACCTTGAGTATATCATGTGATCTCTTGGAATAGTTATACCTAGGCGATTCCAACAATTGATCTGAGGCAGAATTTAGTTAAAAACAAGGTCAAATGAAGGCTTGAACTGGCTTTCAAGTTAGTGTTGAAGGGAGAATAGCATTACCGCAGGCATTAAAAATTTCTATACTCGAGCAATGGGGGGCCCACCACTAGCTTGTGTGGTATTAGTAATGTACCCAGCAGAAAAGTTCCCTAGAGTCACTAAGGAGTCGCCAAGTATCATCCCCGAGATCCTCCGGAGCTACAGTAGTGACCCCAGAATCCAACCGACCTGCTTTAAGCCCTTCATACTTTGACGTCATATGAAAGCCATGGTATTATACCGAACTGAAACCTGGATAAAATTCTCTCACGGTTATGAAATCGTGTTACACATCTGAACGTCCATCAAAGACCGCCCTTACCGCCCCATATTTCGTGCTGGGAGGCTAAATACACTTGCATTTGCCCCAAATCCACTCAGCAACATACATCTTTCCTTGGCCTTTCACGCGGGGGAAAATCTTCCTAAGCGGACAAACGCCTCTCAACCTGTCAGCGTCCCCGACTCATAGAAATGCAGTGAACCCGAGATAACTACATAGCCGGTTATAAAGTGCCGTACCGTGGTGCTAGGTAGGAACGGGATTTGTGAGGTTCCGAAGTGGTTCCGAAGTTGGTTGACGCTTTGGGGGACTGGGCGTGCTCATTAAGAGGAGCGTTGGGTGGGGTTAGAGTTCCTCCCAACGATTAGCTCGGTGCATAATGTACTTACCAGTGCCACTTCCCCATGCTCAAGTCAAATGACATGATTAAATTATTGGTTGACATCTGGCTAGAATTGTTAAATCCGCGGTTCTGGTCCAGATATGAAAGTTTGGGCTGAAAATATCGTATATCATACCTAGTCAAGGCGATAGCTGAATACAAAGTGCTGCTTGCTGGTTTAAATGAGCATATTCCTCTTGCGACACGGCCGGCCTAAAGTATTGTACTATACGAGTAGTTGGAGAGCATTCGCAACCACTCACACCCGGTATCGGTATCTCTCCAATACCAACCCTATCCCCCAGCAAGCCATTATGGCCATGATTCCGGGAAAGTCTTAAAATCCCCTTTGCCTATGGTACACTTTATCACTCACTTACACCCCCCAATTGTCCTGGAGTTTTTCTCCACATTCCAACAGTTCTCTCCAATGTCGGACAGAGAGGGCAAATTCTACCACGGCAGATTATGTCTAGTCCCATTTGGCGTTGTGCCAACGAGTTATGTTTGCTAATCTACAAGCCAGCCAACCATACGCAGAACACAAAAAAAGCTCAATCGGTTTCCCCTTCTCAAGACTCTCCTCATCCGCCCTACTTGTCGAACAATACATAATCACCATACATCACTCGAACAACAGTTCTGGGGAAGAAGAAGCGGTTCACAGGTGCAGTTAGAGGCCTAGGAAACCACATATGATATCAGAATAAGTTTGTGTTTTCCTTCCCGTCATTTGTGAAGGAATCCCCGCCAAAAAGAAAAAAAGAAAAAAAGAAAACAAAGACTTTTAACCCACTAATCATATGATACCGACTAACCCCGTCTACAAGTAGCTACCGGTATTTGCACAAGTTCGATGACAGCACGAGCATCATCGGGCCTTCTCTCGTAAGCGAGTTGAGCGAGACTCGGGATTCGCGGGGGTCTAGGCAAGCCGCTGTTTCATGGGCTGCAAGTTTTCAGACCGCTCAGAACCTACCGTGATTCGTGCGACTAGCGAGCGTTTGGAGTGCTTCTCCTACCATAAAAATTCCTTAAAATTCTAGCCAATTTCGGAGCCGATCAGCAGAAGGGTTGTTGATGGTGAAAAGGTCCAGCGATCATCATGCGAGCGCAGTATAATCAATACTCTGTGCGTAGCACTTTTGTTCTCCCAACTGCCCAAGACAAATTTTGTATGTTTGCCTGGGAGTCTGTATACAGCACCCATCCGCTCCCCTCTTTCAGGTGATACTTGTACACCCTGTAATTTTGTTTCCGAAGATTTGTGGATTTCGAATTAGTACGAGTAGTTTCTAGGGTGCGAAATCCAACCAATTAGAGACCCCCGATCAAATCACAGACCTATTTTGAAAGGGAGGGTTTCTATTGTAAGGTAGAGAGAGTATCAATTCCTCCTCCCTATTTGGTAACACGCGTCTCAAGCACCCAACTTCTCATCAGCTCTTCACCCATGACAGGAAAGCGTTAGGTGAGTGTATCATATCATAAAGGACAAGGGTGCAAGGGATTCCTAGACTATCAACATCCCACGCCAAGAGACGAGATTTGATGGGGGTTTGTGTTGAGCTTTAGTGACACTGAAACGGACTGAATTGCTGGGCTCGACTCATGATAATGAATACTCTTTTAAGATTATCCGCATATCGAAGGGTCAATTCCAGCGACCGTAGCCATGGAATTGTACTCGCGACAATCGGCCGCCCAAGCGAGCACTATGCCTGCGCTGTACTATACCCCTACTTGGGGGGAGCTTTCTGTGGGAGGGAAGGAATGAGAGTTGGCGGCTCGATTCGTATCTGCCGTGAGCACCTTGGTGGTTACCTCCCCACCCTAGAGTTGTGTTACCCGCCAAGGTGCCTCCAGACACCATCGAGCCACCACACCCCACCGTTTAGTGACATCCATGATCATACCTTCAGCCAACCCTTCCTGTATCGCCGGACACCTAAAACCGACTCTCTTATTCCCACTACCTGGGAGGCTACACATACAAAATTTAGCGCTTTGGCATAATTTTTTACGTATATGCAAGTTGTATTCCTCAGCACCAAAATTCTCACCTTACCCTTCTCAACCAATACTCGCTCAATAAAAAATTAGAATCCGTAGAATTAAAGAGGAGCTGATTCTGAACAGTTCCATCAAATTACTTTCCCGAAAAGCCTTATTGTTGCTGTGGAGAGCTTGTTTCTGGTTTTTGTTCTGGGGGGAGTCGATATCAGATGCCCAGCACCATACAAGGCGAGTGTGCTCTCACTCATGCAGTATTTTTTTTTCGGTTTTTAAATAAGTAGTCTGTTTTACTTTTTTTTATAAATACATATCCTAACACCCACCTTCCCACCTTCCACTTCTTCACTTGTACCCTACTTGTATGAACGCCGAGCCCAAGAACTGCTCGAATATCTCTCCTCCCGTTACAAACCAATACTAACTCATCACCAAACACTCAGTCCTTCTACAGGGGAATCCGCACCCATCACGCCGTCTCACTCGACCATCCAAACTTTCCGGCAGAGACAAAGAAACAGGCCCGAACTGAGCTCTCCTGTCCCAAGAAGAAAGAGAAATGGCTGCTGCGGCTGCTGTGGAGTTGACCGGTTTGGCTTTGCGCCAGGTTGCGGACGGCGAGGTTGGTGGAGCGGAAGAAACAGTACCAAAGTGTGGAGGTGGGAACGAATACGATGGGAGGATGGGACTGAGGATATCTGCCGTCTTTGTCATCTTGGTTGGATCCACGTTTGGTTTGTTTTCCCTTCCACAATCGCTCCCCGGAGGAGAGTGAGAAAGCTATGGAGAAGAAGGGAACCAGCTAACATGTTTGCTCACAATAGGCGCGTTATTCCCAGTTATGGGGAAGGTCCACCCACGGTTTAAAATCCCGGAATGGGCAATGATGTTTGCCAAGTACTTTGGCTCAGGCGTTATCATTTGCACCGCATTCATTCACGTTAGTTGAAAATTCACCCAAAAACTTATCGACAAACTAACAAGCGAAAAAAAAACAGCTCCTCACACCCGCTAACGAGGCCCTCACAGACCCATGCCTCACGGGCCCAATCACGGAATACCCGTGGGCGCAGGGTATAGCGTTAATGTCCGTCTTTGCTGTGTTTTTCGTGGAGCTACTGGCTACGCGTTTCGCAACCTTCTCAACCAGCCACCTCGGGTACGGTATGGACAGCACTTCCTCCGACAACCCAAAAGAGCGTTGCAGCGATTCCCCCCCCAACGGCGCCGCTGACCCAGAAACCCTCAACTGCGTGAATGCTGAGGTTATGGAGAACTATGCAGCCCAGATGATTTCCATTTTCATCCTAGAATTCGGTATAATCTTCCATTCAATCTTCATCGGGCTCACACTCGCGGTTTCGGGAGAGGAATTCATTACACTGTATATCGTGCTTGTTTTCCACCAGACATTTGAAGGCTTGGGGCTAGGGGCCAGGTTGTCGATGGTGCCATTCCCGAACAAGTGGATGCCTTACGCTATGGGCCTGGGCTTTGGTATTACTACTCCTCTTGCTATCGGGGTTGGATTGGGAGCTAGGTCGACCTTGGACCCCGCCAGCCGGACTGCCTTGATGTTGAACGGGATTTTCGACGCTATTTCTGCTGGAATATTGCTCTATACGGGGCTTGTGGAGCTTATGGCGCACGAGTTTTTGTTTAGCAAGACTCTGAAGAGTGCAAAGATTTCCTATGTTATGATGGCATTCGCGTTTATGGTGTTGGGGGCAGGTGGGTTATCCTTCAGCTTCACAAAAATCCCCAGTATGGACCGTCGCTAACATTTTTGTTTCTTATCAGGACTTATGGCGCTACTAGGAAAATGGGCTTAGGAATTTAATGTATTTTACTCATAATCTTTTGGCCATTGCCGCTGTTAATGTTTCCTCCATCACACCTCAGTTTCTTTGATGTTTTCGCACAATTTCTCTGGCGCTATCCTTGATGTCCATTAATTTTCATGAAGTGGATTTTTTCATCGCTGCACGCCGGGGCAAAACGGAGTTTCACAAGGAGCCCTAACCTAAGAATTTCCTCGACTACCTACCGTAACCTGAAGAGCCCTTTCACCAATTGCGGGAGATTAAAAAATAACCCCGACCCACTCTTATATCATATGCTTCCCAAATATACAAGCATTTAGCTTAATCACCTAGAGGCAAGGATGCAACACCCCGAAAGTTCTATATTGGCAAAAAGCCCACCCACCCAACAAAGTGGTCCATTATTATATTTACCGTCCCCCCCACATTACTTGGGCCCAGACACCCGGGATCGCCAAACGCGATTGCAGCATCATGATTATGGGATTATGATATAGGATTCCGGTCCGGGCAGATATAGGCATGCATGGACAGATCCCCCAAGAGCAATTCTGATATTTGAACTGTTGGGGTTTTACAAGCGGCGCTGCGTTTGTTGCCCAAGAGAATATATGCCTCGTGGTATCCGTGCGAAGAGCAGGATTCTGATTCGGGCGGGAGTTCGAGATTGGATAGCGGTAGTAGGTTTAACTCTCTGGGCTCGGGATAGAAGATACCCCGCCGCAAATGCATTGGTGAAAAGCTATGACCTGGAGGTATGCTCATTTAGAATCTCTCGTTAAGTATTTAGATGTGGCTAATCACACGGCACCACACCAGCAGATGAACACCGCTACCTTATTAGGAAAAACTTTATTCCGTGCCCCCGGCTCACTGTCCGGGAATTCTTGTGGTTGGGAAGTAAGGTTACGATATTAGCCTAACGCACAATACTGTATACAACATAGTCCATTCTATGCTTTTCCACGATATACGCGCTCGATTCCGGAAGCGTCATTGCTGTTTACCTTGGTAACGGAGAAGGTTAATGTAGGAGTAAAGTACTGTACAGTACTCGAGTACTGGGAAAAGATCTCGCCTCTCCCAAAGTGATGTGCCATAAGAAGCTTTGATCGCCGCTTACGCGTGGACACGCAGATTGGACCGACTCCTACCCGCCCAACTGCTTGATATGGATATTGCATTACACAGGATCGGCGCCCCCATCCCCTGCTTTCCCTTCCCCCACCACCCCCACTCACGTAAAATAAATGGAGCGACCACAAATAATATCCATCCAAAGCAGTTGCCAGAAACCATTACAGCGGGAACAAGGAGAATTTCAGATTGATTAGGCCTCACTCGGATTTGAAATGTTGTACTCGTACAGTACTGTAAGGTAGCTGCTTCCTGAGTTTCGGGCAAGTTAGACCAATTACCGGTCTGGGGGCCTGCGGGTCGACACGCAATATGATTACGATGTCAAACGCGAGAGAAGGTATGTATGTCGCCGGCGAATACCAACTGCCCGAGCGCGATAAGAGGGAATCCTAACTGACCAAATATATAATGCTGGCGGTTTTCACCACTTCACACTCGAACCCTCCACACCCTTTGCCATTCCTCAGCGAAGCCACGCCCCCGCATGGCCCCGGTAGATGGCTTAAAGCCAGAGAGATATATAAACCATACATGGTTCGAAACCAGCGCTCACAGCAGTTCACACTTAGGGGAAGCACCACTGCCATGAAACGGACACATTTCCGGCGACTCTGTGAAATCCTAGGATAATCCTCACAGCATTATAAGGAGTGGTTATGGGATATTAAAAGGGAGTCCAAAATCAAGTTTGCGTCTACCTGCCCAGCATTGCACACTATGGAAATTTCAGCAACTGATCACCTTGATCATCCTGACCTCCACGAGAAAGCGTCACCCACACAAGGCCCCTATCGTTTGAAGCATGAAGATCCCCGCTGGGAGTAAAATGATGGCCTCGAGGCCCTTCACCTCTTGAGGCCTTGTGCTCAGAATCCTCAGGGACTCCGGACCCGCCCTCGAGGGTGTCTTCGAGGGCCCTGTGCCTAGGTTGCTTCAGTTGGAGAGCATATCGCGGTGAGTTTGCTACCACATTTGCTGAGCACCGAAGGCCCGAAATTCCACGATCCTACCTTTTTCCGCTCACTTTCTCACTCTCCCGGCCATAGACCCCAGGAGTAAAATCTTCCTTCCTTGGAGCACTTTTCAAGCTAAAAAAAATTACCGGTATCCAAGCCCAAAAATGTATACAACTTGCTACCGGAACTACCGTGCAACAGTTAACGCACAATCCCAATTGCCTGGATATCCTACATTCCCACCTCCGATGCTCTCATGGGCAATAATCACGCAGGGAAAATAATACGTTCCTGGAGATAGAAGGAGGGTAGAGCAGTGAGGGCGAGAGGGAAACGAGCACCCCATTCAAGTGAAGTTGAGTCAGCCCTCTTCCCACACCCCTATCCTTCCACCCTCCTATCAACCAGGCATGGTTAGGTTTGAAGAGTGTGGCCTTTGAAAATATTCTCAACCCTTTGGTTAGCCGAGCAGCGTGACTAAGTAGAGTCCTCAAGAGTCTAGTTTGTGAGGAGCCCACAAAGCTGATACATAGCTAATTTGGTTTCTAGAAACTCGAACCATCAAGGGAGGGTACAATCCCTTATGTTCCTTTTCCGATTAGCTGTGTAGCGGTTCCCGGCAGGAGTGCCCTGGCGCTGCGGAGTAACGGACGAATATTACGCAGATTTCTAGGTGGTCGCCAACCTAATATCGCTCGAATTACTCATACGGACTCGCCGCTAAAAGGGATTTCAAAAGAAAAGCCCGTTTTCCCTACCCCTTACCTCATCCGGCCCTTACAAGCTGTCGGAAGTCGTCAGCTGTTTGATTGCATATAGGACATGCGGCCGGAAGACCCGCGGTTAATGATAGGACACGCGGAAATCAGACATGCGGTGAGTAGGCACAGGTTTGGGGGTTACGAAGGGTCACAATGTATCAGGATGATTCCAGATCGTTTGGGATCCCAGAGGATCACAATTCGTCAGGACGGTCTTTCCTTACCGCTTATGTTTCGATTGTTTTCTAGAGTTGCTACTTATTTGGGGGTGTATTTATCTCCTGGTCTATCATTAGCCAGCCTCTTCACCGATCGTCTAGTTTGTCGTTCTCCTGCATTCACGAGTGAATTGGCCATGGCGGTTTTACTCTCACTATTTCAGCACTTAGCGCTTTCTATAGGGTTCTTTATGCACGAGGAGTGGGAGGTTGAAGGAAGTGATCTGGAAAGATACGTGGAACAGTACAGTATAGATGGAGACAGTGAGCACTGCTGATTCACGCACCGAAGTCCCTCCCACTTATACCAACAATAGCCATCCATATACACCGACATAACCCTTATCATTTCTTAAAACCCAATGCACCCAGCAGTGCGGCAGGCAGACGGACATACTCTCACTTTCGATCACATCGAAGTAACACTTCCCGACACAGATGTCGCTTTGCACCTCCCTCTAATACCCATACACTCCTAATCTCTAGGTACCGGTACGACCAGTGCCATCCAAACAAAACCTACAAGAGTATTCGGAAGAAAAAAACCCTCCAGATCATTAGGAAATAACAAAGGATAATGTAGAAGTTTTTTGAGGTCTTAACAGTGAGATATATATAATCGATTTGAAAAAAGAAAAAAGAAGAAAAAAAAGTTACAACTCGGTACAGCCAGGTCTAGGATAGCACTAATCGTATCGTACACGAAGATCGGTTCCTCCCGTCGTCCAAGGGCGTTTGGTTCTGCTCAGGCACTTTTTCTCGCCAGCGCGGATGATCATATACGATATCACGGGTTTACTCGGGCATCTGAATCCATGTTGTAAGAAGGATTACCCCGATGACCAAAGTTATGCATACTTCGAACGTATGTATAAACGACTATCGTAGGTTGGGAAGGGCCAAGTAGAATCAAGTCCCTTCCTTCCTTCCACGTCCCCCAAAACAAACAGCAGAAAATCGAGTGATCTTTGATGGATGTAGAGAAGGAGTTGTTTGTAGTTATCGGGGTTTTGTCCTTTGCGCACAAGTTGTATCATAACGCTATCGCGACGCCTTCTGCCATTCAGATGGTTTTTAGAGTAATATTTGGCGATGTCGTTATTGCAAGTTCGCCTGATAGAGTATGAGAGAGGGGCGCCGGGTTCCCAGGTTAAATTTATGTCCTCCGCTAGATAGTACGTTACGCAGCAACGAGGGGGGGGGGGGAGCCCCACCACTGCTTTCACGTTGGTTGTTCGGTGTATGATGTTGTCATCGCGGTGTGCGCATTTCTAAGCTCCTGGGCGTATCCAAAGTTTTGCGATATCATGCCTTCTCCATGCCATAACTAGCGATGTGAGAGAACCGTGGCGACGGGGGTGTGTTTGTCTGCTAAACTACCCCCCCATGCACGCGCCCTCATACCCTTTCACCGAGTTTCAATATGGATCTTAAATAGAAGATGGGATGAGACTACCGGGGGGTCGAGAGATATGCTGGGTCCGTGATTCTTTGGGACAATATCTACAGATATTTTGGGATTGATCCTGTGTTAACTGTGTTCTGGCTCTGTTGTTTTATTTCTCCTCCCGACCCAATACAGGTATGATATATCACGCATGCTGTAGATACAAGTTCACTTCAAACGACTAAAGAGAAATACGGAGGGGAAGAGAGAAAGATGGGGTGATTCGTTTATACCCTACTCCTATTAACCGACCTAAAAATGAATAAAATAAAAATAAAAAAGCCATATCCATACATGCAACAAGAGAATCGTTCATAAAGGTACACCAAGTCATGCAAACAAACATCTATCTCCTATGACCCATGCTACCCGATCTCCCTCTATTTAGCCCTTCGGCTACTGCTTCTCCAAGCTTATACGCAACCGCCTCTCCGATATTTCTCGTGGCAGAGGGACCTGGGCCGCCGCCTAGAATTCCCCCTCCGTGACTACCGCGACGAGGACGATTTCCAGTTCTGCTTGGTGATGAATGGATGCTCTCGCTTTCGACAAAGCCTTGGCCAGGTTTAAGATGGCCGTGAGTGATATGATGACCGTCATGGTAACCATTATGATGCCCATCAGGGCGGCGCCCATCGGCAGAAAGCGATCTACCGTGTTTCTGTTCACGACGATGCCTCTCTGCGAGAGCTCCGGCCATAGTGTACCCTGCCTTCCTCAGTCCGTTGGCATGGTTTCTTCGCTCGCGGGAGCTAGAGCGGGAGCGAGAACGGGAACGGCGGTCACGATGGTGCTTGAGGCCGGCGGCGGCTGCCGTACCGAGTGCTGCTTTTCCGAGCCTATGCCGGCGACGGTGTTTGCCCCCACCCGAGAGTGATGATGAGGTTGACGAGGATCTGGATCTATTCCTTCGATGATCATAGAGTGCCTTGGCAGCAAGCCCTGTAGCTGCAGTGCCAACTGCAGCGCCAGCAATCTTGCGTCCACGATGCTTATTCTCGTCATCCGAACTAGAGGAATAAGACGAAATAGACGAGGAACGGCGGCGGTGAGAGCGCTTGTGGTGAGCGAGCCCGGCGGCTGTGGCGCCCAGTGCAGCAGCAGCAATGTGACGTCCATTATGGTTGCGTTCCCCACCTGATGAGGATGCCGAAGAAGACCGATGGTGTTTACGGTGGTCGTATAATTCCTTAGCAGCACCTGCAGCAGCAACACCGAGTCCTGCCTCAGCAAGGCGCTTGGCACGACGATGGGCCTTATGATCATCCCTGCCCCACCCTGGGTGCCGTTCCGAGTCAGAGCTGAAGTGTCGATGGCGACTGTGGGAGCGCGATCGACGATGGTTCAAAGCGTGGTCAAGCCCCACGGCAGCAATACCAGCTTCGGCAAGATGACGACGACGGCCCCCAGAAGGAGATCGACCTGGGCGAGAATGAGATCTATGCCTCATACCGGCAAGCTTCTTAGCACCGAGGGCGAGGCCTGCGGTCTCGAGGAGGTGTCGGCCTTTGTGGCCATCGCTAGACGAAGAACGGTGGTGAAAATGTCCTTTATGTTCTCTATGCTCATGAGGGTTGTGAGCACCAACGATTCCGGCGCCGCCTTCCAAAAGATGTTCCATGCGGTGACCGTGACGGCCATGATGACCATGTGGTGACCCGTGACGGTGATGGCGGATCCCGTGACGAGTGCCATCGTCAAGGTAGTAATCATCAGAGTAACTGTCATAATCTGAAACTGGGCCAGCACTCCTTGCGCGATGGTAGTGCCGGCCGTGTCTATACCCATGCCCATGTGAGTAGTCCATATCCAGCTCGCCACCGAATCCTCCTCCAATCCGCTTGTGGTAGACGGCTGGTCGACCAGCAGGATGAATGACATATTCACGGCCACGAGAGCATTCGATCTCGGTTGGGAGGGGAACGTAGTGGTCTTCATGAATGAGGACGGGGGAGTGAGGAGGAGTGAGGGAGCGATGGGAAGGGAGTTCGATGGTAGTGGTCGATGCCATAGAGGGGGACTCGATCACTGTGGTCTCGACGCGGGAGTCGTCGTATGTGTTGGTGTAGTATCTTCTATGCCTCCTCATGGAAGGAGGGATAAGCATCTCTTCGTCGAACAGGACGGGCATGTTGAAAGTGATTGGTGGGGGTTAATATCGAGGGTAGTGAAGAGGGTGATAATATCTCTAATGCAATGAACGAAGGAGGAAAGAAGAGAAGATGGAAATAATGGAAGGAGGGAAACCGGGGCTACCTATATCTTCTACTCACGAACCCTCATGACACCCCTCCAGTCTTTTCTGGTTCCTTCTTCCTTCTTTTTTTCCCCAGCCATGAATCCACCCCACAGCTGATCCCTGCGACTACCCCCATCATCCCTGTTTGTGATATCAGTAACGACGTCAGTGGACAATAAAGCCTGCGCTCTTCTTCGAGAACGTCGAAGTGACGCCCCCGCACCTGGATTCTCTTGTGCTCGGGTTACCGCTTTTCCTTGATTTCCATCGCACAGCTGAGAAACAAGACCAGTTTTGATCCACCCAGCCAAGCCACTTTTTGGAGATGTCAGAGCCTGCAGCTGATGCCCACCTCACACAGTCTCAACGATCGGGGGAACAACTTTGCTCTTACGAGTACCGGTACTCGTACTCGTACAAGTGCTGGTGTAGTTGCTAGCAGAAGCGTGCTTTTTTTTCCCGTACCCCGAGCGTACCGCGAGTCTAAAGCGCATTTCGTCTCAGGCGTGTTAGTTGAAGACTGTGATTTTCGGTTGGACCCTGAAGAACCATTTTGGCTAGGGTACTACTCGTACTTTACAGTCGCACCCCGCTATCCGGGATCTCGCTGAACCGGATACCCCGTTGATCCGGACAGCATCGCTGGCTGCCACAATTTCTCATAGAAATTCCCCCTGTAACCGGTACGGGTACTCGGTTATTAGTTTTGTTTTATGTTTTGTTTTAAGTATCGCTTTGATACTTGGTTTGTTTTAAGTATCATTTGATACTTAATTAGTTTTACTAAAGTGTATCAATTGATACCTTTGACTAGTTTCGTTCATGCTAGACATGAACAGATTTGTGTATTTAAAGACTGCCTGTTTCTACAATAGAAAAGGCAGACTTTGACAGACAGTATTTCAATATACTTGGTTGAACAGTTACTTCTTTGTTCCTCAGTACACCCTCGAAGCCTCCTTTAGTTCTCAGCTCTCGCCTCCTCTCTGGAAGAGCAGGCTACCTGCCAACTATTGTATTTAATCCCAATAACGTGATTGTAACGTGTTCGCAAGGTGCTATTCACGTTATCGGTAATAGATACGATAGTTGGCAGGTGGCCTGCTCTTCCAGAGAGGAGGCGAGAGCTGAGAACTAAAGGAGGCTTCGAGGGTGTACTGGGGAACAAAGAAGTAACCGTTCAACCAAGTATATTGAAATACTGTCTGTCGAAGTCTGCCTTTTCTATTGTAGAAACAGGCGGTCTTTAAATACACAAATCTGTTCATGTCTAGCATGAACGCAACTAATCAAAGGTATCAATCGATACTTTGGTAAAACTCCTTAAGTATCAAAGCGATACTTAAAACGAAACATAAAACAAAACCCAGTATCAAACGATACTTTAAAACAAACCAAGTATCAAAGTGATACTTAAAACAAACCAAGTATCAAAGCGATACTTAAAACAAAACATAAAACAAAACCAAGTATCAAACGATACTTTAAAACAAACCAAGTATCAAAGTGATACTTAAAACAAAACATAAAACAAACCAAGTATCAAAACAATACTTAAAACAAACCAATAACCGAGTACCCGTACCGGTTACATTCCCCAAAACAAAACAATTGTTTAAAACAAACAAAACCTAATAATCATCAAAAGCGGATTCCGAGAAACTCATGGCTTCAGTTTCTGTAAGAAATTCCTCATCATAAGTATCACACCAGGGACAAGAGGAAACTCTAAGGAAACACTTAGACTCGAAGAAATCTAAGTCGCAGTAGTCACGAATACCAGATTCGTGCTGTACATCAACCCAAGCATGATCGCAATCAGGACAGTAGTCAATCCAGAGGATTTCGAAATAGTCTTCAAGTTGGATAACATCGCGGTTCAACAACAGTCCAACAATCTGTTGTCGCTGCCTCACATTGAGCTCCACATAGTTTGACATCGTTATGGTATTCGGATGGAGATTGGTGACTAGATAAAGTTGTTGAGGGCCTGCTCCATAGCTTGATTCTCCTCATTGCTGCTTTCAAACTCCGACTCAAAGTGTGGTGCCCAAAATCCATCTCTAGCTTCAAGTTCTGTGTGCCATCGCTCAGTTTCTGGCATTGTAGGTGTCCAGCACATGGTGATATAATTGATTGTTGGGGGGAGGGATTCGTTTGGCATGTTGTCTTTCCACCATCCGTTCACCATATCCATAGCGTGATCTAGTCCCTCTAGTGGTTCCCAACTGTTTTCGCTCGTCGGATATCCTTTCCACTTGACTAGGAACTGATCATTTCCATGCCAAAGGTGGTGGTCTCGGATTTCTTCAACTTCCCATTCATCTTTCTTTTCAATGATGATAGGTGCGGGTCGAGAGTGGGTTCTTCCAGGGAACTTGGAGTCGTCATTTGGGTGGAACCGTTTGACAGCAGAGGCGTGAAAGACTGCAGTATTGCGACGGTACATGTGTCCATCCATCTGGACAGTGTAGTTCTCTGTGTGCTCGTCAAAGGATATGACTTTGAAGGATCCATGCCATCGGGGTTGCAGTTTCTTGGTGCGTCCAACATTGGTAATGAACATGTTACCGTGTACCATGAGCATGTCTCCTGGTGAGATGGGGATATATTTGCGTCGTCGTGTCTGGGCAGTAGTGGTGCTTCGGAATCGGGCAGCCTTAACAGCTTGGAAGGCATCGTTCCGAATTGCTTGGTGGCGGTTTAGATGGTCGTCAGAGGCAGGGACTGAGGAGTTCTTAAATAGTGTTGTAGGTAGGAGGGGGTATTGACGGCCAAAGACTGCCTTGTATGGTGCACATTCCCAAGGTATCTGAAAATCCGGCATTGATATATGCAGCGAGCTCAACAAGGGCTGGTTCCCAGTTGGTTTGTCATTCATTGATCATGTTCCTAATTCCGGTCTTAACTTCGCGGATTTTTCGTTCTGCCTGGCCATTAGTCTCATGGTGTCTAGGGACAGCCATAATGTGGTTTATTCCGAGGGAGGTTAAGGTTTGCTTCCAGAATCTGGCAGTAAAGCGGGGATCAGCGTCACTGACAATAGATAAGGGGTACCCATGGGGGGTAAACAGGTATCGTTGGAGGTTATTCCAGGTGTCTTTGGAGGAATCGGTAACTTTCATTGGAATGAGCTAGGTATATCCAGAAAATCGGTCCACAGCTACCAAGATGGTGTCAAATCCAGCGGATTTGTTGAATGGTCCTGCGAAATCGATGGCATACGATTCGAATATTTCACATGGTAGTTGGAGGGTCTGTGCTTTTCCTTCAGGTAGTTGTGTTCGCTCCTTATTTGCCTGGCAGAGTTCACATTGTTTGACAAAATCGCGGAAGTCCTTTCGCATTTCAGGCCAGTAAACATATTCTGAGGCATATTGAAGGTTGCGGTCCGCACTATGGTATCCTTTGTTGTGAATCTCGGATATGACATATTCTCTAATAGTCATTCCATTCAACATATGACCTTTTGGTATGTATAGGCAATGTTCACCATAACGGGTACTGGTAAAGACCATTCCGTTGGATATGTTGTAGGGGGCGAGGTCTCCATGCCTGGAGCTATCCATGGCTTTGAAGTAAATCGGGTCATGGCGATATCCTGTTATCATTTGGCTTCGGAATGAGGAGGTTAATTCTTCTGTGGTCGATCTAACATCTCGTTCATCCTCGATTAGGGATCCTCTTGTTGGTTCGATAGGGGCTTCCTCTTCCTCAAAGGTTTCGTAGAGTTGAGGCCGATGCTCGGGAATAGTAGGGGGTATGACCGAGACAATGGTTTCATTGTTGTATACTCGTAAGGGTCCACCATATAGTGGTCGTGAATCGATTATGGGAGGAGAGGATGGCGGGGCTGACTGTGGGTGTTGTAAATAGGACATTGCATCCACGTAGGCTGCTGCTTGTTCGAGTTCTTCAAGACCTTGGTATCGTGTTGGAACAGGATTAAGGGTATGAGCAGGTTGGATTGATTCATCTTTATTGATTATCTCTTCTGCTCCCTCTACGGTATCGAAGCTGGTGTCTTTGGAATCGTCAGCAGGCATATAGTACGGTCGCTGGTATCTGTTTCCGAACTTAATCTCAGTCTGGTGAAAAGGGCAGGTGTTGTGGTAACAGTGGGACCAGTGGAGTCTGCTTTGTTCAAGTTTGTGAGGAGGTGTGCTGCGGAGCGTGCAATTGTCTTTCCATTCTTCATCAAGGTCCTTTCCTTGTTCTGTTCCGGCAGCACTGTACATGGTGTAAGAGAAAGGATTGGAGGGAGCGGCAGAGCTGGCGGTAGCCATTGGTGGTTCTTGTTCATAGGAGGTGTCGTCAGGGCTGTCCTCGCTTTGTCTTGTGTGGTCATGAACAAGGGGAGGGTTTGCAAGGTCTTGATTCTCATATAGGCAGGAGAGAGCATCAGCTAAATAATTCGTTCTTCCAGGGGTATAGATGATTTTTGCATCGTATTTGCTGATCTCGCCTATCCATCTCGTTCTTCTTCTTCCCGGTATTCTTTCTGTTTTAAGATTAGTGAGAGGTTGGTGGTCGGTGACAATAGTGAAGGTATTGCCCATTAGGATGTGGTTGAAAGCGGCGAGAGCATCAATCACAGCAAGGGCTTCCTTGTCTGTTGTTCCATAGTTCATCTGTGAGTTAGTGAACTTCCTGCTGTGTAATGCCACCGGCCTCGCCGTTTCATGGGAGGCCCCTTGCCCAATCCATGCTCTAACTCCAACATCCGATGCATCAGTAATCAGCCATATTGGTTCTGGTTTACTATAGTCGATAGGTTGAATAACATTGGCGTTTTTAATCAATTCCTTGATGTTGGTAAAGGCTTGGTCATGAGTGTGGGTCCAGACGAATTCTGCATTGCCGGTGAGGTCTGTGAGCGGCGCTGTCACAGTAGCATGATGTGGTAGGAACTGGGCAATATAGTTGACTAGTCCTAGGAGTCGCAGGAGTTCCTTTTGATTCCGGGGTGTCGACCATTCCGTTAAACAGTCTATTTTTCCTGGGGCTGCATGTATTCCTTCATCATATATGACATGTCCTAGAATATCGAGTTTGTCGGCAAACAGGATTGATTTGTTTCTGCTAGCGTAGAATTTAGCTTCCCTAAGTTTGGTACAAACCAAACCTATATGGTAGGCGTGTTCTGCTGCGGTGTTTGAGAAGATGAGGATATCATCAATGTAGACCCAAACAAAATGGTGGAGGTATTCGCTTAGGAGGTTTTCCATAATTCGCATAAAGGTGGCGGGCGCATTCATATCACCTTGTAACATAACTCGGCTGATGAAACTTCCGAAGGGTGTTTTGAAACTGTTGTAACGTTCGCTTTCTGGATCTAACCTTGTTTGGAAGTAGGCATCGCTTAGGTCAATCTTACTTCGGAATCTAGCCCGTCCAACTGCATTTAGGATTTGTGTTTGATTTGGGATAGCGGAGCTGTCCATAACCGTGTTTTCGTTCCGTAGCTTGAGATCAACCAAGGGGCAGATTCTTTTGCCATCTGCTTTGGGTTGAACGAATATAGGAGCGGCACCTGGGGCTTCTGCCCGGTAGA